GGGAAATGCCCGGAAAGCTTCCTACCCCTCTCACGTTTCTGGATTTTCACATGGATTGCATTTTGCAAAAAGGAACTAAACCAGGAGCATTGCAATGTTGCTATGATTGTGCAAATGCTTTTGTTTTGGAAGCGAAATTGTATTATTCGTAAACAGTTTCCATTATAACTCGCTAAGAAATGTAAATTTTAGACAAAAATTACCATGCAAACTTCATATTTTTTCGTGGTTTCAGTGATTTCATTGCAAATGATGAAAATGCACAATCTTAGCATCATTGCAATTCTTCTGGTACCGTTTTGCAAAATGCAATCCACATGAGCCCTAGAAAGCATGACTTTATATGGATTGCATTTTGCAGAAAGGAACCCAGGCCATTCCAATGTTGTTAGGATTGTGGAACTTGCATTCTTTACAATATAATTACTGGCATCAAAAAGTTAATTTACAAAAGCAATTTTTATCCTGAATTTAAATTTGATTGGGAGTGAAGTTGAACTTGTCTCGATGCTCAGTTTATATTTGCAAGGTAAAAACATTTGCACAATCTTAGTGACCTTGGAATGTCATTGGTTCCTATTTGCAAAATACAATCCATACGTAAAGCAGGGCTTTCGTTTAAATTGATATATGACCGGCAAGTCAGGAGGACGGGAAACTCCAAAATCTTTGTCTTTTATACATAAGAACGTTTCTGCATGTACATATTCATTTAAAGCTTTGGGAAAAACTCGAGTGTTTATAGGTATTCCCTGATAAGCGATCCTTAAATTCGGCTAATTTTGAGATCGCATCTCTGTTGTCACGAGACCAACGAATTCATGTACCCACTATAAATTTGACAAAGAAATTCAACGTATTAAAAGCAATGTTTTTCCAGAGGAAAAATATCGCATTCAATACTGATATCAAAACTGCACTTTAATGCGATATTTTTCCTCTGAAAAACCCTGCCTTTAATACGTTAAATTTCTTTGTCAAATTTGGTACATGAATTTTTTAGTCTCATGACAACAGAAGTGCAATCTCAAATTCGAAAAAAATGACAAGTAGCCGAAATTATGGAACGAATCAATGCGATACGATATATCGCACGTCGCTGCGTCGCTCTAACGCAAAAAATGGCAACCGTCGAACCACCTTAATGCACATAGTTCCGTTTGGCAGAAATACGTCAAAGTGACAAATCAATGGATTAATCGTAAAACACAAGACGCCACTAATTGAGGGGGGGTTTCAGTTCCTTATCCGGGCTTCGTTCTCCCACTGTGCTGCAAAATGGCATCACGCGCCGATGCTCATGAAAGTAAAATCGCCCGGCGCCGCCGCCGCTCACTTTTAACGCAAGAGCTTGCTGGCAGCGATTTACACCCAACCCCCCCCCCCTCTACTCTTCATCCACGTTCCTCCCTTTCATTTCACCCTCGTACTTTTCCTGTTTGGATAACTTCGATTTTTCCGCCACGATAGTCTTCGGGTCCAGCGCGCTTTCTAAGGCACGATTAAAAGGATTTCCCTCGCTCAGTAATCTCGTCTGTCAAAGTAGACTTTTAAACCCCCCCCCCCCCAAAAAAAAAAGAAAACTGAGAAAAGCGGATCACTTTAGACTCCGTCTTTTATGTGTGAATATTTTAATTCCATGGCTAAACTGCCGTCCCAAAGAAAAACGCTGTATTCTCGCCGTACATTCGAAAGTTGCTCTTCCTTCGATAAAATGTTCATTTCTGAGCAGGGGCGTTGTGAATATTTTCCCTCGAAATTTTCAGGAATTTTTGATGGAATCAAGAGGATAATTTTCTGAAAAATTGGAAGAAAAATATTTATAAGTTTACTAGGAAATTCAAGTTTTATCAAAGGAAATTCGTGTTTTATCAAAGGAAATTCGTGTTTTATCAAAGGAAATTCGTGTTTTTTCAAAAGAAATTTGGTAACGCCTACAGTTTCATACGGCGTTTTTCCTCAGCACGGCAGTAAAAGCGAAAATTGTATAACTCCGATTGTGACGCTTCAAATTGGACGTATTTCTACGAAACAGACCTATGTGAAAGTGAGAAATATGGGGTGTGCTCGTTCGTTCTCTGGCCGTAAGAGTGAATGAGAATAATTGTGCGCCAGTGACGTCAACGGAGGAGGACGCCGGCGTCACGTTCCTCGTGGTTGCGGTAGTCGTGGTCATTAACTCATGAGCCCTGTCCACAACGCTTGCCATGCCCGCGGCTCATGAGTTCCGCATTCAATTGGCACATAGGTCTCTTTGATAGAATGTAAAATCCCGCTTTTCCAATTCTTCAAAAGGAATCACGCCCACTTTAACATTGCTTCTTATGCAGCTTCCAAGAGCACACCCCATATTTCTCACCTCCACATAGGTCTGTTTCGTAGAAATACGTCCAATTTCCGCTTATGTTTTTCTCTTGAAATTCCTTCTCCCATTCAAATGCATTACAGGAAATTTCAAGGGGATACGTTGGTTGTTTTTGGTATACGTATTCATGCCAGAAGGAACTATGTCCATAAGGTTCGCGTAAAAAATGATTCCATTTAGCATAATTTGTCCATTTGAAAGGTGAAATTGAATCGGAGATTTTGAAACGTTGCTATGGAGAAACGCATTTTTTACCGGTAGCCATTGAAATTTCATGAACGGAATAATGGAAACTGAAAAAATATAAATTCGAATCAATGGCCGACCATTACGTAATGGAGGATTTTTAAAAACAAGTTGGCACGAAAAATGCGTGAAAATGTCAGTATAAAGTTTACTTTTAAAAACAGAGGAATTACTGTTTCAAGTTTTAATTTGCCATGTAAGGTTCTGCATTGCAAATTCGTATTATGAACTTATTTCGACCCACTTGAAAAACATCAACTTCTTAGAAAAATTATCCCCCAAAACTCAGCGACGAGTCTCGTAAGTTAGCAACACCATCTTACCTCCATTTAAATATGTGAAAACTATCGATTTCAGCTGTCTCGCCTAAAAGCGATATTTAATATGAATTTAAATGTGGCAAAACAAAATTACCAATTCAAAATTATCTGGTGAACGGTCAAAATAAATGAGGGACAGCCATACAAGGATCTTAAAATATCAAAGAAAATGTAATTAAATATTTTACAGCATTAAAGCACTATTAAATATTACGCAAGATCAATACATATCGGTCGTATTCCTCCAAGAGAGTAAATTAAAACTACTTATTGAATAATGCGATTATGTTGATAAAATCTTGATGCGAGATGCCCACTGACCACTACTCCAGCAGACGGCGTGATTCGGTGCGTACCTGATGGTTGAAAGACTTACATGTCTCAATTATTAGGATTAACGTAACGCATGAGGAACATGCTGCAGCGCAGCGCTAGAGGAGAACGCAGTAAAAACCATTGGACTAGACCAAATTTCCGTTGATAAAATACGAATTTTCTGGAATACTTGTAAATTTTTGTTTTTTCAACGGTTTCACCATTAGACGCTCAATGCGGGTCAAATGGAGAATTTGCACACAAAAATTTTATCGCTTCGTCTGAGAGTGCTTAATGAGCTGAGTTCGCAGTATTTTTCATAATTTTTTTCTGACAAGGGAAATTGTAGAAAAATAGATTCAAAAATTAGAAAATGTGCCGCCCTATAACGTCATCTGGTGGCATTTTCCATTTAAACACATGTATTTTGGCAGATTTGGTTATTTTGTCATAATTTCTCTAATAATCGTCCAATTTAGAAACCAAGGATATCCTCGCACTCAGTTTTTCTAGTAGTTTCATTTTAAAGATGAAATTCACAAAATTTAAGACACCTGCAAATTTTCTATTGACCTGAAGCTTGCAAAAATCGCGGGTCTGGCGGGATGTATGGGACCGGTGCATTAGAGCTTTAGATATAGCTACAAATACATCGTTAAAAAACAATTTGGGAAATAAGAACAAATCTAGTGTCAGCAGAACCGAAGATATTAGAGACGTACTACTGCCGTGTTACGCATTGACGAATCCAGCGAATTGGCAACATTGTCTTTTCTCCACTTGAACCTATGGAAATGTATCGATTCTTGAAGAGGCTGGGTGCTTCTACAAGAATCGATCATTTAGCATAGGTTTAAATGGTGTTACCAAATTGCTGGAGTCACCTGGTGTTACGGTACTGAAGAGAGCATGTAAGGAGATTTCTGCACAAACCACGGGTAGCTTGTCTTAATATGTGTTGCGAGGATTGTGTGTCACCACAGAATGTACTTACTACTCTTTTCCATAACACAGCAATGTGTTCGAACCTCGTTTTTTAACTTTTCTCCCAAATCTGAGTGACACTTTATTGCAAATATAACGCGGAGCATTGCTAGTTCACGCTTCGCGCCATCGCGCCTTCAATTTTGCGGACGCAACACGGACATCCATCTAGCACGAATAGTTGTATCTTCACGCCGTCATCAACGAGCTTCCTCTCCCTTACTCTACTTCCATGTTGTGTTGGTTTCTGTTGTCTTATTTGTAAATGTACCTCCAAGTCTATGTTAGCAAAATAGCCGAAGATAGGAAAGACATAAGTCTAAGAATTGGTATTTTGGCAAGATTTGTGTCATGTCAGGGGATTTTCATTTTGCCGGGTAAAATATACCCGAATATCTCCTCTGTGGGATTGACATGTGGCGGATGAGGAAGGTAGCAAACGGAGGGGTAAGAAAGCGCCAGTTTATCACCAAAAAGGTGAAAAAAAAAACAAAAAGTATTTCTTACCTTAAACAACATAGAGTTAACATGAATAGTACTTGAAAAAACTACCAAAGTCAATCTATTTAAAGACTGGCCACTTTTATCCGACTTGAGACTTTATGTATAAAAAGTCTTGGGCATTTTTCTGAGGATTGAATAACTTTTTTCACAAATTAGTATAATATACATCGTTACTCGTTAGCCATCAAACTAACGAGGAAGAGTTTTGGGAACGATGATCCTCAATCGAGATTTCCTCTTTGCAGTTCAGGAGCTGGTGCGTTGTCTCTTAGTCGAACTACCATGAATGATGCCCAGTAATTCAAAAAGCTGCGAGCCCACTGCACATCTTCCTTTTTTTATCAACATGTGACCCTGCAGCAAATTCAATTTTTGAGTTGAAGAATGCCATTGTCGTAAAAGTCCGGGACATGCAAAACACCGTTATTAGCAAAATTTTAAAGGGAGACAACCATTGAGTCGTAATTTGTTTCATCGAAAAAATACGTATGTATCATACATACAAGATTCCGTCACCAGCTATGACGAACGGTTAACAGTTGGAGTTTTTGAAATGAAAAGAAAATTAACAGAATTTAATACGCTATCTTCGCAGGAAAACGTTGAATTGAACAAGCTGTTGAAAACCGTTCCTTCGAATCAGTGCCACAAAATCTTAGTTACTTACTTCTAAAATATTTTGAAACGCTCCAAAACATAATTTTCGCTCATATTTTTCCAACATCGTATAGACATGTTGCTTCGGCATGAGGCTGAGTTAGGATTTTGTGATAAAATGCATTTGACTCGACTGAGAATTGATGAAATTAAGATCGATAACTTAATGCCAAAAGTGCGTAACTTACTAACTCCGACGTTTAAAAACCTCTGGTTATGTTTTATTTACCTGAAGGAAAACTGTTCAAAAAGTTTCGCTGAAATGTTTTGTGAACGTGTGAAACTTAATTCATAGAAAATTTCAAAGGAAACAGTTGATTAGTTCTTTGTTGTAACACAAAACAAGAGCGGAGACATACATATCATCACAATAATCTGAAGTATACATTTTTCAAGTTTTTTTTTAGCGGCTCTGGTGCTTGCACTAGAGCTGCTATTCCGGACGGTCCCAGCTGGGGAGTATCAACGGACCATGTTACATTGGAGAGACCGCGTGTTGGTTGATGGGAATCGGCGCCATTTTCTGCTGTTTAGGGGGGACTGATTTTATTTTAATTGATATCTTTTTCCTGTGAGCGAATGCTATGTTGTGTAGTGTATTTTTGGAATCATGGTGATACTGTCAATAATTCAAAACGGGTCTGTGCTTTAATCTCGCACTGGAAAAAATGTACTTTACGTTTAAAATTTGAAAATTCAAATCTATAAGTTTTCGCGCTTTTTTCGAAGAATGCCGTGGTTGGAGCTTCCTAGTCATACTACTCAACATCAGCTGATAGCAAACAAAGGTTACCAAGGAAACGGTAAACGCGTAACAACTACCTACCGTCGCCAGAGCCGCTTTCCGACGCGAATGCGTTGGAGATTGGTTGGAGCTTCCTGCTTGTTTTTTTTTTTGCTTTTTGCCTTTTGCCTCTGATTCACAGAAGAGACAGACAAAGAAACATGTCTCTGTCTCTATGTTTAATCTTTTGAGACGATGATCGTTGGTTTATCAATAGAAAAAGTCAATGAAACTTAATTACTTGAGTAACAAACGCAATTTAATTTACCTGTAAACCCCAATTGGTAGGCATACTATTCCGGATAATCCATGAATCTAAAACCAAAAGGGAGAAGAAACATTTAATTTTTCTTAAATTAATTTCCTTCTTTTTAGGTGTTGGCTTTGCGATAGAAGTTTGATAGGCCGAGATGTGTTTTTGTTGTGGGTATTTGATCTTTTTTGAGCCATTATTAGACTATCATCAATAGGTATATTTTCAGTTGCTTTTACATACTCATTTGTGATCGTCCGAAGGAGGAAGTAGTGGCGAGACGTCAATTATCGACTTTCTATATTTTTTCGTTGAGCTATATGGAAAGGAATCTATTTTTAAGGTTTTCCTTGCAAACATTCTGTTAATCGATCCTTTTCAAAAGGTTTAAATGGCAAATCAATGAATTTATTGCGCCTTCATCGCATGCGCCTTAAGAATTATTCTAAACCCAAAAATCGGCAAAATTCAGAGAATTGAAAGCAAAATAGTGTTAGAAAAAAACCAATACAGCTATCGATGGCTGTATCGAATGCGAGGTTATTTCCAAACACAATTCTGCTTTCATTCCTCTGAATTTTTCCGATTTTTGGGTTTCAAATGATCTTCAGGCTTATGCGTAGGGGCTATCGTCCTTTTTCTGCTTAAAATTCAGAATATGTCGAGATTTTCGACCTAATCGATGCGATATATCGCATGCCAGTTTGACCACACCACTTGAGCTTGACGAATCACCTTAATTTTCTTTGATGACTTTGAACGCAGGTCGATCTCAATACTCATGAAAACTCACGATTGGCTCCTAGGCATAAGAAGAGGGGGGGGGGGCATGTGGTGACAGAAATCGTCGTCTCCCGCACGATGGAACGTAACTCCATTCCAAGGTTGCCAAATTGACTCCAACAATTAATTTATTTTACAAAAATGTAAGTGTGCAATTTATATCCAAATTAGTCTGATTTTTGCATGAAATCGGAAGAAAAATCAGTGAAATTTTCAGTTATAAATGCCCAATACTTTTCTGGTTAAAATGCAATTTACGAAAGGAAATTTGGCAACATTGAAATGTAGTTACGTTCTTTCGTGCGGAAAACGACGAAATACCTGCATAATGGCCAACGATGAGGGCAACGTGGTTTGTTACTTGGAAGCTCTGATCATCGCAATCGTCAGAATCAAATACTCCGCGGATGTAGAACTAGAACAGGAAAAAAAGAAACGAAACTAAACAAAAACGACGAGTTCTAAAGCACAAACGCGATACGTATGATTAGTTCAAATACTTGCTGATCTAGCAGAATGGACCACTAGATAAGGTACGAATTTCAGCATTCTGATACATGTTTCTTGACCAAAATTTTACGTAAAACACGATGCACACAACGAAAATTACCGAAATTAACTCCTGACGAAGATATTTAATGATTCTTGATGCGTGAATTCAAACCACCCGCTCATGAAAACTCAATGCTCTACGTGATTCACATCGCGCGCTAAATGTTTATCATGACAGTCTCTGCGATGTAAAAATCTTCAACTTCAATCTTGACACTTTGGCTCAGCTATAGCAAATTGCTAATAGTTTGAACAACACATGATGGAAAATGAACATTGCTCGATTGAGAAGCTCGCTGAAACCGTTGTAGTGGGCGATTTGACTCATGTAGAGTTTTGAGTTTCTTGTGAGCGGGCAGTTCAAATTCCTCGCAACCAATGTGAAATAAAAACGTTAATATCTTCGTTAGGAGTTGGTTTCCGTAATTTTCGTTGTGTGAATCGTTTTCTACGTGAAATTCTGGTTAAGAAACATGTATCAGATCGCTTAAATTCGTACCTTGTCTAGTGGTCCATTATCACCGGTTTTTGTTTCCTAGAGTGCTTAAATACAAGGAGTTTGTTGCACTTGCGATTCGAAAAGTTTCGTTTTGGCGCGTTAAATTTCTCTCGAAACGACGAAACATGATTGGACTATCATACGTCGAAACGCTTTTACTTTTACTACCGCCTTGTGTGTTTTAACATATACATAACTGTTCGCGCTCTCCGGTTTGAATGTTGCCTATGTAGCAAAATTGAAGGCGAACTTCGGATGGAAAATACCTACCACTGGATCCGCCACTGGTACACGATTATTCACAAGACTAAAGCCTTGTCCACACGAGCGCGGTTCGAGGAACTTGTTCCCGGAACAAGTTTTAGCTGAACTGAAAACTTATTCCTCCTAAACCCGGAACTTCCCCCGTAGCTTCTACATATGTTTCTTTTGGTGTTAATTTGTTTGTTTTTGTTCTTTACGTCCTTCACATGTCTTGATATTTATTTTTGTTACTTTGGCGGCCGTAATAATCTATTATTTTGCAATAATTGTATAGTTTTATTGAAGTCCCGGTTCCAGTTTGGGCGAACTTGTGTGGACAGCATCCCTCCTTTCAAGGAAAAAGTTCCGGGAACTGAGCAGCTCGTCGAATAAGTTCCTCGAACCACGCTCGTGTGGACAGGGCCTAAGAGATGTTTCTTACTTGGAGGTTTGGAGATGAGAACATAGCCGTTGCGATTGGCCTGAGCTGTAAATGTTCCTCGAGGTCCTCTGGTTCTACCTGGTCAAAATCTGCTACCTTCACGTGAGGCGTGTAGGGCCTGCAGTCTCCTTTTTCCGCTGTGTAGGGGTACACATCCGCGATGGGCACTCCGTGTTCCTCCATGTATTCCAAAGCTGCTACCATGCTCCCACCGTCACAGCCGTAGGTGTTCACGTCACAGTCAAGTATCGCTACCAACAATTTCGCATTTCCATGAATTTGCAGGAATTGGACCACATTTTTCAATGGAGAAACATATCGACGGTGAAACTACCAAACCACGTATCTCGTTTGCGGTGTTTAAAAATCTACGCTCACATTTTATTTTTTTGAAGTAGACCAAATTAATATCATTCCTTGAAATTTTCACAGAATTTTCTCCGTACGAAGAGGAAAAATCACAGAAATTTTCAAGACTAGACGTTAAGTAGTTTTTCATTTAAAAAATAAAGTATGACAATAAGTCTGCGACGTCGCAAACCGAGATACGTGGTTTGGTAGTTTCACCGTCGATATATAATTTTTTCTCATGTGAGAGCAAAAAGGGAATTAGAGTCCGCATTGAATAAGAAAAGTGCTTGACCACCAGATCTTCCTGCGCTTTTTTCAGCCAATCAGACACCCGACGACCAATTGGACGTATTTCTGCCAAACGGAGCTAAATGCATTATGACGTGAGCCCTGCTATGCATATATTCTCATGGGTCTCAAGGCTCATGCCTTGATGCACATAGTTCCGTTTGGCAGAAATATGTCCAATTCTTCATTCCGTGTTGAAAATAACATGGGAAATTGAAACCATATGTTTTTTTCGAATGCGGTCAATTTTTCGGCAAAAATAAAAGTGTTCACGACTGACCTCTCGGGAATTTTCCGTTTTGACTGATGTATACTACGTTCCACTTTTTCAAAAAAAAAAAAAAAAAAAAAAAAAAAAAACATCAAAGATCTTGAGTTTTGAAATTTCAATTTTAATCCCCTCGGATCGATGTTTTTGACTGTCCCGTCAGCTCCCTGGTCGGCTCCCTGGTTTGGTGTCGTTTTATGAATGAAGTGGAATGTATTATACATGAATCGAAATCACATCCCCGAGAGGTTAGTCGTAGCGAATTTTTCTATCCTTGGCGGCTTATCATGGATTTTGAGAATGTTGGAAGACTTTAGCTTGTCCACGATTCTTCGAACTCACCTTGCACTGAAAGCCTATCGACCTTATTTTGTTCCTTTGCCAACATCATCTCAACCATATTAACTGTGGAAAAAGCCCAGCATGCGCCACATTCTCGTCCGAACTGGTTCTGTAAACAGATATATAATTTCAGGGGGGAAACGAAAGTAAAGGAAACCGCTTCAATGACCGTCACAAAACACTAATTTATCAGCCATTTCGTTCCAAGAGCTTATGTTTGATGCAACAACTACCTATATAACAGCATAATTTAAAAAAGAAAATTTAACATTAAAGCCGACATTTCTTCAAAACTTATCCACGATGGAACATTCAAAGGATACAACCAATCTTTCCATGTATCCAATCGCACAAACTCAGAGGCGTATCCGATAAAAATAACTGCACATGCGATTTTCTCAAGACTATGTTTTCAGCTATAGCTGGTTATTTCGGCATAACCACGATGAAACAGCATGAATAGAACGAACTCGTATCTCGGAGTACGACGTTGCACTCTTCTTGTCATGCTTCAATTCCAAAAATATTTTTACGTCGTTTGTTTAAAATTTCCCAGATTTTTATACCATATGTGAGGCATGGAAGGGATATCAATAAGGGCGGTTTTTGGGTCCACCCTGATTTTCTTCTACCTTACAATCATTTGCTAAATGAGTGTCAATTTTACGAAATGAAATTATTTTATGGTCATTTTCCGTCTCTTTTCAGGTCTGCGACTGGCCAAAATCTGGGTCTGAGAGTCGATTTTTGGCGAGAAATGCGAATTTCTCGGCATTCGATGCGCTGGTTTATATCGACCCCGTCGTAAATAAAAAAAACCGCATTTCCCAACAAAATCGGCCTTCAAACCCAAATATCTAGCCCAGTATGAAACCCGAAAAAGGACAAAAAATTACAAAATCATGATTTCCGTAGAGTACATCTCCTCGAGGAGCACAAAATCGTGGGGTTGAGAAAATTCAGGGTGGACCCAAAAACGGCTTTAATCAATACCCCTCCTTTTGGATAAATTGCAAGCAATAGCTGGGTTTGTTCTCCTTTAATACACCAAAATGAGAGCAGACACTTAAAACACCAGAAACGACATTTACGTTATCCTGCTGTTTGAACGCCGATAAGCTTCAATTATTTCATGAGTTTGCTTTTTTAAAAAAAATATTTTAAGACATTTCTGAAACTTCGCGTGCTCTCGGAGTGGGCGACGAAACCCGTAAACTTCCTGACGATTATGTCCCAGATCAGAAGCGAAGCGTGAATGATCGGTCATCGATATTCCCCCATTTGAAACTATGCACAGAAAAAAAACTCCGGCCGTGGAAGCCGTACTAACGGGCTAAATAGACATACCGTCCGGAAGTTCCGGTTGTAGCACCCGGAAGTTTCGGCCTCTGAGCCCGGAACGGATGGTATGTCTACGTAGCCCGTAACTTCTTTTTTTTCAGTGTGGTAAAGAGTTGATTACAGTGGCGTGGTGTGCTTCGCGATATATCTATGCCATTTAAACCTATGGAAAAGGATCAATAAACAGGGTGTTCGCAGCGAACACCTTAATAATCGATTCTTTACTATAGGTTTAAATGGCAGAACAATCGATACATCGCAATTCACGCCACGCCACTGGTCGACTAAGTGTCGTTGCAAACACCATGTTTACCGATCCTTTTCTATAGGTTTAAATGGTAGATCAATACATCGCAAAGCATGCTACGTCTTTGTCCCGTCTTACTTGAGCTTCAGTCGGCGGGTAGAGGTGATTGGGAATGCGCCAATCCACCAACATATTTCCTTCTGGTTCCGGACCGATGTAGTGCAAAGTCCCAAAGGGAGCCGGCCTCCAGTCCGGCGGCAGGGAATTCGGGAAGTTGCGCCTGTTGGAGCGATTGCGGGAGGGTGTTGGGTCCGCTGATCGTCTTCTTTCGGGTCTTCTGGAACCTGGATGTTCCGAATCTGAGCCAGAATCCGGATCCAGCATTCGCGGCTTCAGACTTCTGTCCTTCTGCCCAGACTTTCGGTGATCTGACATCAGACTTCTGAAGAAACTGGACTTCCCCTCTGGTCTCGGACTATTTTCTCTACTGGACTTTCTCTCTGGTCTCGGACTCTTTTCTCTACTGGACTTTCTCTCTGGTCTCAGACTGTTTTCTCTACTGGACTTTCGCTCCGGTTTCAAAATACTGCCTCTACTTGACTTTCTCTCTGGTTTCGAACTTTTGTTTCCACTGAACTTCCGCTCTGGCTTTTGAGTACTCTTTCTACTAGATTTCCGCTTTGGCCGTGTGATTCCAACGAATGCACTAAACTCTTCGCCTGCACAGAATTTTCATGTTTCATAGATAGATGTTTGTGTCACGGGAGCAAGGCATCTTAAGGATATCATACTTTTAATTTATTTATTTATTTTTTCATTCCAAAGCATCTGCCTGAACTGAACTCTCCCCCTCTCAATCGTGTACCAGAGGTAGATCCAGCAATTTGGCAACACCGGATTTCCTTCATTTAAACCAATGGTAAATAATCGATTCATGTCGGAGCACCTGTGGCCCCTCCAAGAATCGATACATTTCCATAGGTTTAAACGGAAGAAAGATAATGTTGCCAATTTGCTGGATCTGCCAATGTCGTGTATTGGTACGTATTAGAGATCAAATGGACCACATTTTGCAACCACTATTTCTGGCTCATTTTAGAAACAACATATATGCTAATAGTTTTCCTACGCAGATAGGCGCTTATACAGAAGAGCCAGAGATAGTGGTTCCTTATTACAAAATGTAATCCAAATTTTTGACTCCAATTGAAATTTTTGGAAATTTTTTGGCCTTAATTTGTCCGTGGAGTAGTGTGGACTCAACACGATTCTACCCCCTCATAATTGATCTGAAGAGACGAACTGATTTTCATGATTTTTGCGGTTATCGATATGATATATAGTCGCTAGATGAGCCTACTCTATTGGGATCAACCCACAAAGCGGGCTTTCGGGGGGAGGGGGGCGTGCAGCGGCCAGGAAACGTACCTAATGCATTTTTTATGAAGTACTCACTTGTAAAATCCGTGAATGGGCCGACTCCGAAAACGACACTTCCTTTCCGATTGGCCATGAGATTGTCGATTTTGACCAGGTTCTCCTTAAAAATTCCGAACCTCTTACTCTCCTCTTCTGATGAGCTGTATTCTTTCCCGTAGGCCTCCTTGAATATATTGAATTGTTTTTGTAAAGACAATTGACTGAGTTTCTCCTGTAACGCAAGAAAAAAGAAGGGATAATATTTGATCGGGCGCAGCCAATGTGCGCAAGCCATGTGCTCAGGGCCGGATTAAGGGGGTGGCCACATGGGCCGAGGCCCATGTCGGCAAAATGTAGGGGGCGGCAAATTTTGCAATCTTTTTGAATGTAGGTATCAAAAAAAGAGAGGAAAAATCGGATTCAGAAAATAAATTACAAAGGAGAAGAGAGGACAAAATCTCTCATTTCCTGAGCGTAAAAGTATAGTAATTTATAATTTTGTCGTCTTTCGGTGATACAAGAGATAACACCTTTAACTAGTCGAGCTAAGAGAGAAACCAAACGCGCAATTTGACCTGGAACGGAGCGGAGCGGCGCGGCGGTCGGCATGAAACGCATAGCGCCTACAAGACTGCTGTACGCGCCTCTAGCGCGTAATTTCTGCTGCCGCGCCGCGCGCCGTCTAGCGCACAGCTAATCGCGCCGCGACGCCGGCCGCGGCCAGCTTCAGCGGCGCTGCCCTAGAGAGCGCTCGCGTCGCCAAGGTGTTTTATGTTTTAGTAAGGTCATTTTATTTTGTTTACGAAAGGAAAATAATAAGTTGTCTGGTTCCCAGAGTTGTAAATAAATGTAAATAAAGCAAAGAAGGTTTCAAGGTTAAAGGTGTTTAAGTTATTTTCTCAGAATTACTTTTCGTTCTCCAACGACCTATGCCGGGCGCGGGATACTGATTTACCCAGGTCCTAGGTGCACGCCGATCCAAGTGCCATTTCATCGCCATTCAGCTAGCAGCAGTCTACGGCTCCACAGCTCCAAGGTGCGCCCGGCAATTCAGTGCTCATAAGGTAAGGTTTCCCCCGGTACGCCCGGTGTCACAGGTAATTCCCCGGCACGCCCGGTGTATTAGTTTGTAAGCCCCGGTTAGCCCGGAGAAGTTTAGATAGGGACCCCGGTTCGCCCGGAGAGTAGTTTAGGGACCCCGGCTAGCCCGGTGAACTGCAGAGTAGGGACCCCGGCTCGAGCCCGGTGTTAGTTAGGAACCCCAGCTCAAGGGAGCTGAAGCCAGGCCCGCGCGCTCTTGGTAGCTTTTCTCATCTTTAAATTAAATTAGGGATTAAGGCCCCAACAACTGCATGAATACTTCACGCATTGCGTCAAACACACTGCGGTCGGCTTGAAACGCATAGCGCCTACAAGACTACATGAATACTTCACGCATTGCGCCAAACATTGTGGTCAGGAGCGGTCGGCGTGAAACGCATAGCGCCTACAAGACTGCGTGAATACTTCACGCATTGCTCCAACACAGTGCGGTCGGCGCGGCGGCGGCGGCGGAAGATAAAATTATTAACCACATTTATGTTTGTTCTTTCATTATTTGTTCGTTCGTTTTTTTTTAATTGGAGGGCCTTGTCCAAACAGGGATGGTTTTACGGAGCTGAGCTTTAGTCAGTGTTGACAGGGTTTTCACAAAAAATGTGCCCAACACAAGTAAACGCGTCTCGTACACCCCTCTCCCTCCCCCACCGGCACGTTCACTGGATGGTTTTTATAGATCGTGTTCAACAGAGTACACAGGTGAGATTATATTGATATCGATTGATTCAATATGTAACCACAGCCTCAAAAGTCAATTTAGAAATCTGAGGTAACGGGTCTTATGTGATCGAATTTTCATTCTCTCGAGTACCAAATGGCAATGAAAAGTGAAATTGTTAGGAATTTTCTCATGTTTAGCTTTTCCAAATTAAATCCTAAAATTTTTGGAAACAAATTCTGGCTCAGTGTAAAAACAACGTATGAACCATTAGTTTCCTTATGCACATAAGTGTTTTTTTCGGATGAGCCAGAAATTATAGTTCCTAATTGCAAAATGAAATCCAATCGAGTGGCTGCAGGAGCGTAACTTCCAAAATCGGAAATTGATCGGATTGAAGTTTTTAAGATGAAAGGTTTGTCACTGACTTCGTTAGCCAAATTCCTCGAACTTCTTGGAGAGTCCAAAAAAACTATGGGGGGGGGGGGAGCTAAGTCCCCCTCTCCCAAGTCGGCATTCGTATCTGCCGCTGAGAAAATATCTGATTCAAGCCAGTGGGTTGATTATTGAAACTAATGGACAAAGCTATAGACAATAAAGACAAGAGAAAAATTGAGCCTACTGGTTGAAACGGGTGTTCGTTGTATAGACCGAGGGAGAAATGACAGATTAACTCTAAGGTCTCTTATAGATTACCGTTAGTCTATTTATTTACTTCCTTTCTCCAATGGTGGGCAACCGCCCACCTCTACGAATAGAGTCCCTCCGTATTCTCTGTGTCTTCCTTGTCTTTTAGCTTTGTCCGATATTTCAATAATCAGCCCGCGGGGCAAAAATTGAGACGAAAAGACACCACGGTCAGCCCGCGGGGCAAAAATTGAGACGAAAAGACACCACGGTCATCGCAGATTTTCATCTCGGAAATCATTTTAGAGCCTCTGTTTTAAGGCTCAAATTGCGAGTTGTCGAAATCTAAAAATGATTCAACCTTCAAAACTCCATACTTTTGTCTCGCCGTCGTTCGGAACGTCATGCACATCTTTCAGATCTTTAAAATGAAAAGCTCAAAAAAATTGAAAGCTCAAACAGATGTTCTGCCTCTTGCTAACTTTTCTCGCAATTTTTTGCAAATTCGTGCAAACTTCAGGCAAAGCGAGGAGGAGACTTTCCTCCTATGCGAAGTCTCCCGGATAAAGCCCCAACGCGCACATTGAGAGAGTCTGAAATACGTTACTTCACAATCTGAGTATGAAATTTGCGTATTTCTCAGATTCTTGCTTCGGAATGCATACCACAGCAAGAACATCATTTATTGTTGCCGGACAGTGCTGAAAAATTAACTCTTTCCCCAGTGGCGTGGCGCGGCCTTTTAAGCCCGTTGAGACCTCTGAAAAAATTCAAAATTCGTCCCAAAAATATTCTTTATTTTTACGCCTCATGACATGTTTTGAGACGAAGGGCATGGAGAAGAAAAGGACTTGGTCGCATATTGGACAATGTGGTATGTCGGTACAGACGACTCTCATCATTGTTTTTCTTGGAAATGGTATCAATTATGGAAGAAAGTATAAAAGTACTGAAATTATATTTTTGGGTTGAACTTATTAAAAAAACGGACCTTGTGGTCCGTTTCTCATATTTCGGATTGCGGATTTTGCTGGAATATTGACGCCGTATTGTACGGACCTGCGTCACGGTGTAAACAATTATCCAGATGCGAGCACCTCTTTTTTTCTCAAACTACCAGGGGACCTGAAATTTTTTAAAATTTGAAAAATAAGGGACTCACTACCGTGCGCTTTCCCACGAAGCGGGTAAATTTTTATGTTTACCTTGATGCCTTCCTCGGCGAATCCTCTTTTGCTTTCGATGGATGACCAGACATACTTTTGAACGCAGATTTGGGTCATGAATTGGTGTAGGTCCTTGTCGTTGAATCTGCAAACACAATTATTGTCCTCGGTTCTCCTTCCACGGCTCCACGGAATGTTGAATAAAGGGACTCTCCCCCAAGCAAAGTTGCAATGAGCCTCGCAATCCTGCGCGTCCGCGGGGGCTGCATCACGCACCATTTCAGAATGCACTGCGGGAGAAAAGGCTTCACAAATCTCGTAGTCACGAGGAGTATCTGAGGGGCTTGAAGGCCAAGGCGCATAGGTGAAGTTTTTGAAAAGATTGAGATATTAATGATTTCAAGATAAACTAGTCTTGATGCATAATCTGTGAAAAATTCGCTCCCAAATTTCAATTTTTAAGCATCAAAAAGTCAGTTTAAACTATTTTTCCGTGATAAGGATCCATGTAATTTCGAAACTTCAAAAACGTATTTCTCGAAACAGCGAAAACTCCACTTATGCGCCTTGTCCTCTAAGCCCCTCAATTGCATTACAATTTCCAACGGGAAACTCCTATTTTTGGGTCATCTAAAACACCTATCTGCCTAAGGAGAATTAAAGCGGGAGAAGGTGGGTGGTAGGAGGACAAACAAGAATCAGAAGAGAAATTAATAAAGACACGGAGGAGGAGGATTAAGGAAAAAAGAAAGATAGGAAGAGGAAAGACAAAATAAAAAATAGAAGAAAAAATAGGAAGAAAATACGAAAATGAAGATAAAAAGATGAGGAAGAGCAAAATTGCGAGAAAGCAGAGGAGGAAAAAATAAACAAGAGAAGAAAGAGGGAAGGAGAAATAAGGGAAAAGAAAGAGGAGCAAAGGAAAGGAAGGACGAAAAAAAAGGAAGGGGGAAGGAAGAGGAGAATTAGAATTCAAGCGACAAGGAAGAGCAGTAACAAGAGGAAGAAGGAGAAGAAGAAGAGGAAAAGGGACAAGAAGATAGGGAGGAAGAAGAAGGAAGGGCGGAGGGAGAAAAAAGGGTAGAAGAAGAAAAATGGAGGCAGAAAAAGATACATTTGTGTACCTAGTAAGTAGTGACTTAGATAAGTTACTCATGCATTATTTTTAAAATAAGGCAGAAATACAAAATCGTATTTCTCAATTGCAAAATGTGCGGTCCATAATCGGACTTGATTTCGGACCCCTAAACAGCGTGGAAAATGTGCTCTGATTTATGAAACTCATTCAAAATCCACGTAAAACACGACTCGCGCGACGAAAATTCCTGACATTGACTCATATACGATTTGTTAATTCAGACCTCTCGCTCAAACAAACGAAAGTCTTTGTGAGTCCAATCGCGCACTATGCGTTACTGTGACAGTTTTTGCGGTATGCAAAAATGGCAACCTCAATCTCGGTGCTTCAGCTCAGACGTAGCAAGTTGATAACAACTTGAACGACAGAAGACTGGTGAGGAACATTGCCCTATTAGGAGACCTGACAAACCCCATGTAGTTTGCGATTTCATTTAAGTAGATTATTGTTTTTCTTGTGAGCGGGGAGTTCAAACCCTAACCATTGCAAAATAAATAAAGGAAATGAACGAAATGCTGGAAATATTGGTGCCTCATAGTTAGTGACCTACACGCGAGTGTGAACTTTTTGTACCCCTTAAGATGAGCCTGTTCATGAGAGCATAAAAAATTAAAGCATTCCATACGCTTTTTAGGTTGAGTCACGTGCTTCAGAGGATCCTAGACCGATGCCGTGAGACGGCAATTTCTAAAAGGAAAAAAGAGAATGTCATTTCATTTTCAACCTGGGGATCAATATAAAAGGCCTGCCGTGGAATGAAAAGTTTTGGTGCGCGTGTCTCGTAAAAAAAAAAGAAAAAAAAGAAAAAAAGAAAAAAAGAATGGGAAATAAATGTTGCCATTGCTAAGTCGTGTTTGTAAAATACATAAAGGTCCTCATATGAAGTCACTTGAAAGCTTTTATAATGTTTTCCATTAGTGATTATGACGTGACCTTTAACACTGAGAAACATGAAATTTAATTGGATGAAAAATTTAATGGATTCAAAAAAATGGATAAAATCAAATAATTCACTAAATGGATTTCAAGAAACATTAATCACTGACTGTGGAAAATTTTCCCATGGAGAATTTTCCTTGTTTTTAGAACGTTTCTTTTAGACAGTATTTAATCTTCCGTATCATCGTATATATAAGCTCCGAAACCTCCTTTCCGTATCTGGTAACGCTTAGTTCCAGCGTTCTACCGGCGCCGATTTTCATGATTTTTGCGGCTGTCGACAGGCAATTGTCTCTGTATGTATTAGTCCGCTTTATTTAGATTTTGAAAATATGACCCAGTTTTTTTTTTTTTTTTTTTTTTTTTTTTTTTTATATTACGTGGTAGAGTTGCGAATTCTCCCATTTAAACAATGTAATATTTTATTTTTTGTCATAGTTCGTTTGAGCGTTCTCCTGGGCCGATTTCCATGATTTTTGCGGTAATCGACAGGTGACAGTCCCTAAATGAGCCCGTTGTAATCAGAATTCGAGAATAGGACCGAGGTTTTTTATATTAGAGGAGACCAGAAAGTTTAGAAAAGGGGGCAAAATTTGAAATTCCCGCCAATGAAAAATGGCGGGAAGTTCAAATTTAGCGGAAAATTGAAGTAACCGGGAAATGTTGAATCTTTGTTAGTAAGGTACGTGAATCCGGGGTATGCCCCTTTGTCACAGACTATCCAAAAGCGACGAAACGCCTCGTCCCGTTTCGTTTCAGTCTTGGCGTGAAGTTTGAAAGAAATGCCGATTTTTTCATTCGATTCTTATTGGTCCAATTGCTCCCGGCCACACGGAAAAAAAAGGTTGTCTCGTGCAGCCATGAAGATGGTCGATTCGACCATCTTCGAAAGCTGAAAACCGCGCCAACCAAATTGTTGGCTAGATCGACAACCAGCAGGTAGTGACGCTGCCTTCATGCCGCGCGGCTGGGTCAGCCCTGCGGAGATGGTTAGATCAACCCGAGCGCTCGGCCGCAGCGCTCAGCAATTATGTCAAAGTGACCCATTTTGAGGGCTACCATGCCCGCTTAGTTTTGCCAAAATGGACAGCGGTCATTGCTACAATTTTTCGGGGCTTTTAATGGAAAATAGGGGGCCAGGAGCCCCATAAAATAAATATCTGAGAACGCTAAATTGTAAAAATGAAAAATATGAAATTTGTTAATTTACTCAATTTATTTTACTACGATAGAATTTTTTCAACCCATTATTTGGGATTGAACCTGGACCTACCTAATCCTAACCTAACACCCTAACGATTGAGCTATGACGACCGATGATGAAGGAGCACAAAAAATCTATATTTAACCGTCAACGTCGATCTGCTTGAGTTTGATAACTGAATTCGAATCTAGATTTGTATTTGTGATCATTTGTTTCATTTCTTTAAATCGCACAGCCTGTTTTTTTCTTTATTATACTTTTTATTTCTACTACACACGCTACAAAAAAAAATATGATCGGATTTACCAGTGTTTGGTTATTATTAACCATGCTGTCTTCTTGCTTTTTTTCCAATGAAGCTGCGCAGTTTAGTTAGTTACCAATATACCAGTATTGTAAATTACACGATACGGCTGACACCATGCTAGTGTGGCGTTTCCGACTGCGTAGTATGGTAATTTCAAGCTTCCCGAATTCCAGATGCTCCGACGAACTTTATGGATTCTAACATCCACTCAACATATATTTTTAAATATTAACTCAAATTATCAGAAACAAATTTGATATGAAAGTAGTAGATATTTTACTTACTTTTTGATTAAAAATTCCGGTACACATACAATTATACTGGCAGTTAAAGCAAATTTGACGAGAAATAGCAGATAATTGCTTCACCGATTTCAAGTAAATGATACCAAAACGAAACTTGTTTTTACCGTCAAAGAATCATTTACAGACTAAATCAGTTTCACAAAAAGTTTGATTTCATAATAAGTAGATAGATAGTTCAAAATATACCTAAAAAATAAACTACACGCAGTACCAATTGCCACAGTTCACGGTGGGACAGAAACTGTCAAATTTTGATTAAAGCTTATATTCAACAAATATCCCAGGAAAATTTTACTCTGCATCAGAGTATTTTGATTCTCTAAAATTTTAACACAAATAGATATACGAACGAAGTACTCAATAATCACTGGTCTATCATTTGCAAGGGACTTCCGTATCTTCCCGCTTTCGCAATGACTTTATACAGAACCGACACTCACTAAATAACAGAACAATTTTGCGAAACGCCCTTCAAGTTTTCAGAATTCACACATTTTGTTAGCCAGATTCATCGTAGCAACTCTTATAACCTCCAAAAAGTGGTCGATACAGGTAACTAGGAAATCTCGGAAAATATGCGTGGAACGTTAAAACAGATAGATTTAAAGAGAAGACGGTAGCTGTAGAAACGATTCGAACACGAATTTGGGCAAATTACGCGTAAATTCACATGGATTTATATAGATAAATAAAGCCAAGCGCACAGACTCCGAACAACAACGTGATGAACTCGTAACTGAGTGACAAAGGAAAAATGGCGGACCGCAGCTTAGCCAGGCGGGAACTCTCACCGCGCTGACAGCACCTGATGGTTGGGTCGCCTTTGTGATGGCCAGTTCAGCTTTGTCAAGATGGTTAATCCGTCCATCTCAGCCACAGTGACATCCGCCGTAAGATTCTTGCTGGCTTGGCCTACTTGTGAGGGTATGATAACATACATTGCTGGTTGCACCACTAAAAGATGCAACAGTCGGATTTAATTTAGGCGTATAGGTAAATTGGATTCGTGCTTGGTCACATCGGTCAACGTGGCTGGTGAATCCAACTATTTTTGTTGGTTCTCACGGCTTTTTACTTTTCAACCATACCGCATTAGCTGTTAGAGACAACCTATTTTTTTCCGTGCAGTGAACGATTGGATATATGAGAGTTGGGTATGAAAATCTTTTCATTTTTTTTGGTCGTTCTTTTGTCGACGCGGGCCTAAGAGAACGCGAAGCGTCCTCTGGGGGTTGGGCCGCTTAGCGGCCAGGGGGCACAGCCCCCTAGTTCTATTTTATAAATACTCTGATGATGATAACAACGATAGCACCCAAGTATAAAATTTATTACTATCTTTATCATTTATTTTTTAGCTCTGATTGTAATCAAATAAAACTGTTTTCTTCTTGCGAAAACCGCTTGATTCAAGCACTGACAAAATTTCGTCCGAATTTTCTCTAGATGTCACAGGTATCCAAATCCCTGCAACTTGCCCTTTTCTTCAAACTTCTAAATTTTCTTCAATATTTCTCTAACTCATCTCAGATGGCTGGATTTGTTCATTTTCTGTATTTCTCAGTCCAATCTCCCAGTCATCTCGTTTAATGTCCCATTATTCTTATTACCAGACTTGCAGCTGATACCTACATAGATTATAGCCAGCCAATAGCGTGTAGACTTGTTGTCTCACCACCTGTGACGTCAGCAAGTCTATAAAAGCTCGTGCTGCCTAAAATTCGAGGTCTGTCTGTCTGCATCTACCTCTTCGGGTCACCTCTTAACATCTCTTATTCAGACCCATACTTATACACTGTGTGAATTGTGAAATTGTGTTTCATTCTAAGTTTTTTTAATACAAACCGTTCATGCACCAATATCATCGACTTCAATTCTTTTGCTCTCCCACAAACTCTCAGCTATTTTAAATCTCGATATTGTGCTTCAACTATCATTTTGACATGGTGCCTCACCATTATTAATTTACCATCTTAATCATTGACATGGTGCAGAAACCCGTCTTCTCGGTTTATGCAGAAGATTTTACGGGCGACCTAATGCTTTTCCAGTAATAAGCCACTATTTTGCTTATCACAATTTTCCAAGAAGTTCCTTTCCAACCGGAAAGACGAGAAGTCCCAGTTTTACTCAAAAAACTGACGAGCAGTTAATACGGGGTTACCCTTTGTCCTCGTGCGTCACGCGAAGTGAAAAAAAAGACGTACCTAGACCTGGTTTCGGAGATCCCTCAATATCTGTGCCGTTTCTCTCTTTGGCTATTTTTTGGACTCCACCCGCAACGCTACGCTCCAGGACTTTCTCTCAATTGTCACCACCGCTACATCAGTGACTTCCTTCAATAAACTGTGCCCACATGGATTATTGTGCTAAGTGATTATGTGATATTAGTGCTTAAGGTTGGTCAGTGCATTCACATCTCTTTTCCCCCACCCACCACCCAAAATTTTTCTCTTTTATTCTATGTCATGTCTAATCACTCTTTCTTTCAGGTTATTTCTCTTTTTAATTCTTTTGTCACGACTTTCAAATTTTAATTTCATTTCATTGCGATATTGCAAAACAACTGTTTTCTCTCTAGTGGCATTTTCTCTTTCCAATTTTTCGATTTTCACTTTTTACATGCCAAAAAAACAGTTTGTTTCTAATTTTCTGCATCTGACAACTATTCTGCTTTTGAATGCGTAAAATTTAATTTTCTTGTCATACATACGAAATTTTCAAACATCTGGCTGATGTATTGCAACTGTAACTACCAGTAACTTTCAATATTTTTCTCTGTAAAACTTTCTTTTAAAATTTTACCAGTAATTTTATCCTTTTCTTTCAATTAAGCAATTTTTAATTCTTTTATTGATGAAAATTTTTCAATTTTCCTTGCATTTCTCTTGCGATAATTTTAGTTTCAGTTTCCAAGCGTCCTTGTGAGTTCTCCGCTCAAGGTTTGTCTACACTGTTTTTCTCTTTTTTTCGTATATATGCATTTTTGTTTTTCATTTTATGCAGTGATTTCTTATTTTGTATGTCACATCTGTTTCAATTCTGTTTCTCGCTCAAATGTCCCAGCCCCCCAATCGTCGTTTAAATTTTTCGACCAGTTCTCAAACTGTTAGTTCAACCCCTTATTTATCGAATTTTCAAGCAGACGACGAAGTTTTGTCAGACATAATTGAACAATCAGAACTTAATTCCACGATGAATTCTCCAATTCAAACAGTCTTTACGTCTGACACTGCGTACGTTGAAATTAACATCCCGGCCTATACCATCCCACACTCGAACCCGAACCCCACAACTTCGAGCTCTGGTCCCATATCCTCTATTTTACCTAATAACCAACCACCAGTTACAAATCGCAATTTCAAGTCCCCCAAAATTCCCCTCCCCACTTTTACTGGTACTGAGAATATTCAAGATTATTTCATAGCTTTAGAATCTGCAATCTTAGTCAATCAGTATGACCCAGACTTAGTTCCATTATTCATTGAAACCCAGTTAAAAGACGAAGCTTTATCATTCCTTCAATTCCTCAAGAAATCAGACCCAAATTTAACTTTTCAACATTTCAAGAACAAATTTTTAGAAGAATTTTCGTTAAAAAACCCAATAGCCCATTATCAATCACAATTGGATAGCATTTTGCAATTCGGAACTATAGGCAGAACGGTAGGTTTTCAGGAGAGCAACTTTTGCAAAAACCATTGGCGTTTTTCATCAAAACGATCAATGTTGCGGTTTGATGGTTCATTTTATAGCTATGGAGTTCCTTTAACACCCTGTGTTGACAGATTTGTCAAAAACATCACACTGTTGCCAATAATTACAAAAAAAGGCTATAGTTCCTTATTGCAAAATGAAGAATCCGGGGAAGCTCATTTTGCAATTGAATCGAAGTATGCGAAAACGTCCGATGTCCAAAAAATCAACTCTTGGTAAACCGCGAAAAACTGTGGAGGCCTTTAGAATCGGCGTTTTGAAGAAAATCAAGGCATGTGTTTCTTAGTAAAGGGTTGTAGAAAAGGCACACAACTGTGTCCCATTCCAACTCCCATTCAGTGCTGAGTAATTGTAAAAAAAGGGCTTTGGACATCGGACGTTTTCGCATACTTTGCAAAAATCTGCCCAAAAACCATTATTTTTGACCCCTCCAAAAACCTTTAAACTAGAGTAAAACATAATGTCAGACCTCCAGTAACACAAAAAAAAATATTTCTCTTTTCTTCGAGGCTTCAGTGAAAGTTACGTGACGGCGGAAGAAGAAAAATAATGGACATCGGACGTTTTCGCATACTTTGAGATTGCCCCTCAAGATATGTGTTCAGGATTGCCTAGAATGCATGAAATCGATTAGAATTATATACAGTAGGGTGAAATTATTCATCTTCAGAGGGTCCTGAACGAGAATCCAAATTTGCCCCCTCGACAAATCATGGGAACCCCCCCGAAAACCCCCAACATCAAAAAAGCAGTCAGAAATTGGTTATTTTCTCTCGTTGTTCTACTACTAGCGCACGTTTTGAGAGCAGACATTTTTTTCTCACATAATTTCTCATCTATAGGGAGTTCTTAACGAGAATTCAAATTTGCCCCCTCGACCAATCATGGGGACCCCCCCGAAAACCCCTCCATAATCGAAACAACTGTCAAAAATCGGTTATTTTCTCTCGTTTTTCGGCTACCATCGCATGTTTTGGGAGCAGAACTTTTTTT